CATGGCCAGTTATTAGTGTGGTGTATACAATCAAGAGACGTTTTTTTTACCTGGAACAAAACTCACCTGGAAAAATGAGAGAAATCCTAACAAGAAGTATAATTAGTGGGATAATTAAACGTTGAGCTAATCTTACCTGTTTTAATCACTGGCATAACACGGTAAAAAGCTTCCAGTCACTAAAAAGTAGATTATGGACCAACCTCACCAGCCAGAGTTACTCATAGTTACTTTAGTTCTCCATTATAAGAGAGTGAAGAATATAACCTTAACTTGACACACTTGTATAAATCATCGGCAGAGTCTCCACATAAACACAACACCGTCACCAGTATCAAATAAAACGTCACCTTGAAGTAATTGCTTTATGAATCAGTCACACCCATACCCTCGTTATATCCCCTTCATATACTCATTTAACAAACTGTTTATTTATCCTTGAAACTTAAGTCTTCTCTGACATCAACCACTGAAGTAACTGGTGGTTGACTTCTGACTGACATCACCAATGGGTCTTTATAATCTACCCTACATGAACTGATCCACATGTCTGCACTAAACAGGTAGCTACGTGGATACAAATCTCACCTCTTCTTTTAATAGTATCTGGTTCGTGTCCGGAGAAAGTTACAGCACCCGAGTGTAGTGTTCGACATATTGCCTCACCGTGTGCCGAAATAAAATACTAAGAATTCAGTGCGCTGTATCCATACTGCCCTTAACGGACAGTCAGGGCAATGGAAACCGACTTTCATGGTGGTTAAAATACACAAAGAGAGCCTCAATTACTTACACACACACACACACACACACACACACACACACACACACACACACACACACACACACACACACACACACACACACACACACACAAGTGGTGGAACTCACGAATAATATATGTTTATGTTCCTGTCGATAATAATCATGCGAATAATAAATCTATCCATAGCCTTACACACCTGTCCATGACCTCACACACCTGTCCATGACCTCACACACCTGCCCATGACCTCCCACACCTGTCAATGACCTCACACACCTGTCCATGACCTCACACACCTGTCCATGACCTCACACACCTGCCCATGATCTCACACACCTGTCCATGATCTCACACACCTGTCCATGACCTCACATACCTGTCCATGACACTTCACATACTTCTCAATGACCCTTCGAGCTACTCTCTCTCTCTCTCTCTCTCTCTCTCGACACAGGCTCAGAGAAAGGTTAATAATATAACCATAAATCAAAGATGAACCTTCAAAATTTTCCAAACGTGACCCGTATTGAAATGAGGGAACAATACAACGAACACCTTTCCGTGTACTCTATCAGGAACTACTGTAAATTCCATCCCATCATACACGGGAGGGGAGGGGTTATACTGCAGGCCATTACCCTTCCACCGTATTATACCCAGCTAACATATACACGTTATGCTACACGACACACAAAATATAGTTATTTCTTCGCATGATGTATGTTGCCCCATTCACTATGTATAATAATGATGAATGTGGGTGAAAAAAATCTTAAGTTGTATTTTTTATTTTTATTTTTTTTTCATTTTTTAAGGAGGTAATGGTGTAGGGTGATGGTTGAGGTGATAATGGTGAGGGTGATAGTGATGGTGGTGAGTGGTGGTGGTGATGATAGTGATGGTGGTGAGGTCGATGGTGGGATGGTGACAGTGGTAATGGACGTAGTAGTGTTGATGATGGTGATGTTTGTGGTGATGATCAGAGTAACACGGGGGGGTGATGGGGGTGATGGTGATAGGAGATGATGAGAATGGTGATAGGGGTGATGGGGGGTGATGGGGGAAGGGTCTAGACATTGCTTAAGACACACTAACACTGTTAACCACGTCACCTATCAACCACCACCAACCACCAACCACCTACCAGACACTTACTAACCCACAACAACCACGTGGTTAATGGACAGAAAACACCTCATTATGACTGTGTTAAGAGACCCATAACCAACTAGTACACACACACACACACACACACACACACACACACACAGTAAGGAACTCTTGGCTTGCATGATTAATATAACTGTAACTGTTACTTACCAGATATTCCATCCTATTCTGTGATTGGTTAATGAGTGAATGATGTCTGAGGGTAATTAAGTAAAGCAGGAATTGTTATTGGTTCTATTAAGGGCTGATAATGAGATAAAGAACACGACATAAGGACATAAGACCATATATAATATTTCTAATTATTATTATTATTACCTTCCACTCATAGGGGCTGAAACGACTGACGAGGAACAGAACGATAGACACACCGACGTAGGCGAAGACGACACACGTCCAGATCTCCTGAGAGAGTGGAGACATGAAGCTGAAGACACCGGGCTTCTCCTTAACTGGCTTCTTAATCATGATGGAGATACCGAGTGTCATGAAGGGCTTTGTAAAGTCGATGACTCTTTCCCTGGAGGATGTGATGGTCAGGGGTGCTATGGCGATGTCTGCTTCCTGTGTGGGGGGGGGGAGAGACGAGATGCTGATGAGAGAGAGAGAGAGAGAGGTCCTGGTGAGTAGATAATATTAAGTAGAAAAACAATGAGTGATGAATCAATGTTTCTGTAGCCCGTACTGGTGGTGAGGCGTGGGGAGGAGGGGGTGAAGTGTATAGAGAAGAAGAAGGAAGTAAGGAAGAGGGAAATGGGAAGGAAGAGAGAAGGGGCGGAGAGTTGAGAGAACGGGCTAGAGGCAGAGGAAAGGAAAGAGGAGAGGAGGAAAGGGAAGGGGGAGGAGGAATAAGAAGGGAATGAAAAAGAGCAAGGGGAAATTAAAGTGAAAAACATGAAGAAGTGAAGGGAAACAGGAGTAGGGAGAAGGGGAGAAGAAGAGGAAGAGGGAGAATGCAGAGGGGGGTAAGAGGGAGAGGGAAGGGGAAAGGATGAAAAAGAGAGGAAAAAAGAGAGGGAGGGATAGTTGTCAAAATTGCATCCAGTAGTTTATGGAGAGAGCAGTGATATAAAGTCAATGTTCAGTGATATTTTGTTATTAATGTTGGAGTATTGTCCACTAAATCAGCGCGAGTCAGTTATTACCAGCTGACAGCCTGTACACACACACACACACACACACACACACACACACACACACACACACACACACACACACACACACACTGCCCATACGTGTTTAAAATTGCTCCTTGATGCTAGTGTAATTGCTCAGTTTACATTGCTACTTTTTGGGCAGTAGCAAGAAGTAGCTACTATCATATGGATTTATTTAAGAAGAAAATAATACTCTACAATATTTCTTGTTGTAGATAATAAAGTAAAAAAATAATAACTCAGGGTGTTAAACTAAACGTTGTAAATTTTGGGATCACCTGAAGATTTCATCTCACCTGTTGAGTAAACACCTTAACGCTATCTGGGGTGGTTAGGTTAGGTTAGGTTTGACCAGTAACTGTTCATCCCTCAGTTACAGTCATCTCACTCGTATGGTATTTTAACTGGTAACTGTTCATTTATCAGTTACAGTCAGTTAATTAATCTATCATATTTTCCATTGTTCTTGTTAAATTATTAATTATATGGTTAAATAAGTCACGTGTGGTTAATGGTAATATTTTACCTGGGGAGAAACATTGACTTTGTACGAAATATTTACCCAATGTAACCAGTCTTTGATACTTGACAGATAATGTTAGTTTACAACAACAACAACAACAACAACAACAACAACAACAACAATAATAATAATAATAATAATAATAATAATAATAAATTATCTATAATTAAATACAAAAACGAAAAAATAAATCGAGTGAGAAACGATATACAGTATGTCTGTTGTGTTGTCAATATCAAGAGAAACAATTGAGACCCTGCAATTGTGTGTAAATGAGGCAGAAAGTCAGGTCAACAACCTGGGACTTGGTCACATATGGCAGCAGGGTCTACCATTAGACAACACATTATGCTTCCAATATCTTCCCAGGCGGTAGTACCTCCCTGTTTGATAGCTGCCTTCTACCCTTCCCCCTCCAGTCAGAGAGGCAGCGGACAATAAACACGACGTCAGAGAGGCAGCACACAACATGACGTCAGAGAGGCAGTAGACAATGAACATGAAGTCAGCGAGGCAGCAGACAACATGAAGTCAGAGAGGCAGCAGTAAATAAACATGACGTCAGAGAGGCAGCAGACAACATGACGTCAGAGAGGCAGCAGACAATAAACATGACGTCAGAGAGGCAGCAGACAACATGACGTCAGAGAGGCAGCAGACAATAAACAACACAACGCCAAAGTGAAGAGGAGGAGAAAGAAAGGTTAAACAAAGGCAGAGGGAAGGAGAGGAACGCTGAAGGATATGTAAACAATACTGTTGTGAGAGGGAAAGGAGAGGAGGAGAGGAGGAAGGGGGAGGAGAGGAGATGAAGAGGAGGAGGAGGAGTGAGGAGGAGGAGGAAGAGAGAGGAGGGAGGAGGAGGAGAAGACACATAAGTGAGTCCGAGGAAGACCAAGGGAGGAGGAAGAGATGAGGAAGACCTAGGAGTCTGAGGGAGGAGGAAGAGGGAAGGAAGAAGATGAAGAGTCCAAGACCACCAGTCAGGGAGTCCCGAGTGCCCTGAAAGGAAGACGGAAGAGCTGGAGGATGACCGGAAGAGTTCGAGGAAGACCGGAAGAGCTGGAGGATGACCGGAAGAGTTCGAGGATGACCGGAAGAGCTGGAGGATGACCGGAAGAGTTCGAGGATGACCGGAAGAGTTCGAGGATGACCGGAAGAGCTGGAGGATGACCGGAAGAGCTGGAGGATGACCGGAAGAATTCGAAGAAGACAGGAAGAGTTCGAGGATGACCGAGGACACCCAACAGTATAAGAGCCCGAGGGACGAGTGAGAACGAAGGAGCCCAAATATTCAGACTTATTAGTAAAGTTGTCACATAACTTCCCTTATTAACCGCTAGAGGACTCCACTTCCTCACACCGATGGTCCTGATACTGTGTGTGTGTGTGTGTGTGTGTGTGTGTGTGTGTGTGTGTGTGTGTGTGTGTGTGTGTGTGTGTGTGTGTTTGTGCACGGTTTAAGTCTCACGAGTCTGCTGGTATGAAACACACACACACACACACACACACACACACACACACACACACACACACACACACACACATACACACACACACACACGTTCCAAACAGTCATGACAGTTTTGAACCCTAAAATGACACTTCAAATCTGACGAGGATGGCAACATTAAATATTGCCTAAATACAAAAAAAATAATAATACAATTAAATAAATAAAATTAAACCCAGTGCCAGCAGAATGGTATGGAGGGGGGGGAGGAGAAAGGACAAATACTTTACTGGAGAAGAACGTCGGCGCTGTTGATCGTTTGTACTGCTGATAGTAATTTTTATTGTTATTTTGTGTCAATGATGAAAGCTCTGCAGGGGACTTATTCAAAGTTTTCCTCGTGTAGGTATTGAGCAGGGTGGAGGGGCAGGGGAGAGGAAGGGGCAGGGGATGAGAGGAGGGGGGGCAGGGGAGAGAGGGCCGGGAGAGGGGCAAGAGGAGAGGAGAGGGGAAGGAGGGGGTGTGAGAGGGTGTTATGTTCCTGCCCCTTGCCCACACTAACACCTTACTTCTTCAAACATTTTCTGGGGAGGGAAGAGGGTGGAAGGAGAGAGGGGAGGGGGAGAGGGGAGATGGGGTGGGTGACAATTTTGATCAAGTTAGGATGTAAATTTTGGACATTTTCTTAAAACTTTTGTTGAAGAAAAACCGGCGTTTAATGTGAGCTCTCAATGCCCCGAGTGTGTCTAGATTATGGAAGCCAATATTTTGGTCTATTATCATTGCGGATAATTCAGGTAGGAGCCATATTTGCATATATTTTTTTATATTTTTTTCGTGGGTGTTGGATGTGTCCGGCTCTTCAATGGTTCCCCGAGTGTGTCTAGATTATGGAAGCCAATATTTTGGTCTATTATCATTGCGGATAATTCAGGTAGGAGCCAAATTTGCATATATTTTTTTATATTTTTTTCGTGGGTGTTGGACTCTGACTCAAAGGGGAAGGTCCATGGCTGACTTCACACGCATCTGGTTCGAGCACGACGTGGGCGGGCGGGCGGGCGGGTGGATGGATGGATGGATGGAAGTGAGGGGAGTAGGGTGGGAAGTAAAGTGGACGGGATGGGAGGCGATAGTGGTAAAGAGTGGGGAGGTAAGGGGTAGGGTGGGGGAGGTAAAGGGAGGGGGAGGTGGAGGCAAAGGGAGGGTGGGTAGGTGGGGAGGCAAAGGGAGGGGTAGGGAGAGGGTATGGTGGGGAGGTAGGGGGAGGGTAGGGTGGGGAGGTAAAGGGGAGGGGAGGGTAAGGAGGGTCACTACAACCCAACAGGAACATGAGAAAATTACCTTGAGAGATTGTCAGTGTTCACGCCAGCCTTCGTGTGGGTTAAGCTCCCCTGCAAAATGTGAGGGGAGGGGGGGTGGGGAGTTCTCTTTCCACGGACGCTACGGACCCACATCCCACGGACGATAAACTACCTACAGACGTTACGAACATTTCTACGCATGGACGCTACGGACCTATGTACGCAACGAACGTATAACACGGACGGTGCACCAAGAGTCAGACACGAATGGAAACGTTTATGGAAGCAAAGAAAGTCACGAAAGTACATACATACATACATACATACATACATACATACATACATACATAGAGAGAAAGAATCAGCAAATATTAACATAAGAGAAGTCAAATTATAGTCTAAACCAACAAAGACGTTATGGAAGAAAATACGAAAGAAGAGGAGGAGGAGGAGGAGAAAGAGGGAGGAGGAGGAGGAAGAGAAAGAGGGAGGAGGAGGAAACAGACTAAAGAAGGAAAGCATTCTGATGGAAGCTTGTGGAGGAATGTTGGTAAGGTAAACAGAGGAGAAAGAAAGAAAGAGAGAACGAAAGAAAATGAAGACGAAGAGTGGAAATAGAGAAGGAAAGGACACATGAAGAAGGAAGAGAGAAAGGAAAGAAAAGAAATGGTGGAAGAAAAGTAACAGGAGAAAAAAGAAAGTAACAAAAGACGATGTAAAAGATAATGAAGAGAGATGCATGTATGTATATGTATGTATGTATGTATGTATGTATGTATGTATGTATAAACGGAAGAGAGAGAGAGAGAGATAGAGAGAGAGGAGAGAGAGAGAGAGAATATTCGTTAGCATTTTAAAGTGGTTTTGCTTACAGGAATATTTGCAAAACACACACACACACACACACACACACACACACATTCTCTCTCTCTCTCTCTAATTCCTTAACCCATCATAAATTCTCCTTTCTCCTTATTCCTGTGTTTCATTACTTGTTCCTCCCTCTTTTCCTCCCTCCCCTCCCCCTTCCCTCCAAGCCGCCCCCCACCCCCTCCCAGGCAGTACGTAACAAGAAGCACCCCCCCCATCAGATTAGCACTGTAATGACCCCATGTTCATCACGGCAT